TGTAGTTTCTCGGAATAAGAAAATGTCGGTTTAAATTGCCGTCTTAATTATTACCAATTAGGTCGTTTTGAACTGGGGTATTGTAGATGGCAATACTAGTAGTGCGTAAATGTATGGCTAATGATGATCGATGGGTCATGGTTCGATCCCCACCAGTTCCAACATGTTTCTAATTTAATTTATAATTTTTCTGAAACATGTCGGCCTTCGTCTGGCGACCAGAATATTAAGTGGGTGGTAGGAATATAAATTTCCGTCCGGATCACGAACCACCGTCCACAGATGACTACGATAGGCTGGGGGGGGGGGGGGCTATATATATTCACCTACCACCGACTGAGCCCCATGCCATGTCTGTTCTTTTAAATCATTAAAAGTATCTGAGATGTAACGTGTAATGATAGCATTTCGTTCACTAAAAACACGAGTCAAACAGTCGAAGTGAATCACGTAAGATATATTAGCTGTCTACAGAAGAATTTTAATAAACAGTTTCCAATACAATTCCTTCGCAGCGATATTAAAAACAGCCTGATCGCAATTAATATCAAGGAAAGCTTCTGTTTCTGCAGGACTTCAGTTTTTGCAAGAACCTGAAGCGAGAGTGGTTCACAAACTTTATCGTAATTAAAATGTTCCTTTTTCTTTTAAAATTTTGCTCCGATTTTATTGTTTTATTTTTCAATTTATCCTATATACCACTACTTCTACTACTACAAGCACTACTACTATATTCTGTTGCTACTAAATTACTCCCAAACCGCTTGTCTGGTTTTAATTTAGGTTCTTCTGATATTATTGAAAAACATAGGCTGAAAATACTCTTTTCGGCCTATGTTTTTCAATAATACCTACAAATGTTTCTCTAAAAATGTAAGATAAATAACAAATCGATTTTATTCCATCTTCGTCTACATAAATATAACAATGACACACAGGGGATCAGCCCGGATTGCTGGGGATGTCGGTTCAAGTTCGGTTCTGTCATGTTTTTTTTTCAATTTTTGTTTGATGTCCGAATCATCGTCTACAGATGGAAGCCCCACATAACATCTCGTTTCGACCAATATGAGTCAAGAAACAGTGAAAAACGGGGAAAATAATCATAATAAATGAGTACGACACGACAGTACATGTATATTTTTTGAAAACTTTAATATTTTTTACATGTTACTGCACATGAAGGCACTATATACTTAATTTTAAAATCGAAAAAAATTTGGACTTAAGCCTTGCCCGAGTCGAAAATTTTTTCATTTTATTTTCGATTTTTAAATTACATGTCTATCTTTTAAGATTAACTGGCAAGAACGACAGAACGCGGATTACGTCATGGGTAAGAGCTAGTACGACATATATTGATTTAAACAAACGACAAAGTTTAAACAAAGTTATGAATAGCTAGCTAGAATTGTGTTATGCTCTGAATCACTGAAATTCAGCGTTGTGCTCACTTTCAGGTAGTACAATAAAAACTGACTCCCTTCGAATACAATCTAATTTATAAGTATTGTATTTTTGTGTCTTTTTAAATTATTAATGTGGAATTAAAGATTTGATTGAAATTCAAATATCTTCACGAATTCTTCAAATCCATCGCATCGAAGCAAAAAACATTAAGGAAACCGATGCTTAATAAACGAATTTCTTTTCACTGTCCAAGTTAAAATGGTGATTTGCATAATTGTGAAAGTTGAAGTTTGTTTCCGTTTCGAAATATTTGCGTAAGCGAATCCCGCGATGTAATCGTTTGGGCCGATGTCATTTGCCGGAATTCCACTCCGAACAGACGATTTCACTTTCAGAGGCCATTTGGTTTCATTTACATAAGGGCCACCGCCAATAGGCTTTGATAAGATTTGATAATGCGCCACCAACAAAGAAGGACGAAATTTTATCGAACTTTGTAAATTTTGTTTGCGTATCAAACAGAACGACATTTCATAGTGGTTTATGAATTCTAATACTACAAATTAGAATAGCTACGAAAAAGATCTACCGTAAAAAAACCTATATTAATAAAAAATTTATTATACATTTTTAAAAATTACGACTTGGGCAAGACTTGACTTTGTAATTTCATCTTCCATGATGTTCTTAAGCGGCAAAGCATAAGACATTGAACGTTAATAGCGATTGGTAAGGTTGAAATTACATTGCGGGAAAAGTGCATGTATCATTTTATAAACGATTTTTAATGTTTATAGTGCAACATGTGAAAAATATTAAAGTTTTCAAAAGAACTCGAATCCACGACCTCAGCGTCCCGTGTTCTGCTACGTATAATTAATTTCAACCAATAATGTGAAAAATAACAATATTTTTCAGAATTTCAAATACCTTGATTAATTAAATTTTTTGTTTTTTTTTAAATCCAAGATTCAGATCACCAACTTCAAAATTCATGGCATAGACACCATAATATATAGATATGATTTATAATACCAGCAGTTGATTGAATTAAGCGGAACCAGGGTAAAACCTACTTCCCATGCTCTTTTGTTACGCCAGCATAAAACGGGACGTATGCACAAAAGAATCGCTGTGTTATTGACATTTTCAGGAACGCTAAGTTCTTGTTAGTCATGACTTTCGTTCTGCACGTAGATTGTTTCAAATACATCCTTAAAGGTGTTAATTTTCTAACTTTAAAAATCTACATATATCTTTATAACATACAAAACTTACGGTGTCACATTTAAATAAAACACTTTAACGGTTTAAAACGCTATATATTTTAGTTAAACTAGTTAAACTAACAAATATCGCGTTTTATTAAAGTGTTTTATTTAAACTTACGATGTCACATTATTTTGTAAGTGTAGTTTAATATTGTTCATGAATGTTTCTGTTAATAAAACAAAACTACTTAGATATTTACCTTTTTAGTTAAACTGAAGTACTGATTTCGGGTTGTTGCCCAGTCATAATACACATTGCCTTGTTTTGTTTTATGTCCGTGTTGTGGCTTTACATCTCGCGGAAATTTAATAGTTTCGGATGGTCGGGGCACAGAATTAAAATAAGATACATTCTTGCCTGTAAATCAAAAATGTAGTAAACAGGCACGAATGTATCTGCTTTATGCCACAGGTAAGGACAACGGGATTTCACACAATGACAATTCACAAATTCACTAGGTTTTGTCAGGAAGAATTACAATCAACAAGTAATCTTTAGATATATTCGTTTTCATGTTATAAAAGAAAAGTAAAATCAGAAGCGTCGAAAGTTGTGGTGAACTTCTTGTTGATGTTTATTACAAATAATATCAAAGTTACAAATATTTTGTAAATTTTATTTTGTCTTGCATATAGGACTATAAAATAACGATCCTAGGTCCTAGGTTTGAATCTTATTTTGTATAGATAAAATAGTTTATCGAAATAGGCACAGAAAATGTCTGCTCTTCTGTTTGGCTAGTTCTTTTTACAAATACCATAAAATGCGACTTTCCGTAATTTTTTTTGATCATAATGTCGTTTCTAAATTGAATAAAATTAAGACGCAGGCAGGTATTGATCCGGCATCCACAGCGTTCCGTCCTATTTCTAACTAATTCGACGTCATATATTTTTTTTAACCTATTGACACATACACCTCTCGTACAATGTAACTGTACTTTATTGTAGATAATAAAGTTGAATAAAACTGCCATATTTGCTACCAATTGTATAAAAGTGATAATTAAGTGTAATTACATATAACACAGTAGGAAAACAAATAAACGGCCCCGGAAAACTGAATCTGGAGAAATAAATATTTAGCCTAAAAAAGAGTACATTAACATCTTTTGTATAGAAAAATATATGAATCAACAGACACATAATATGTCTGCTTGCTTTTTTGATTGACCCTTCATTTTCCCTTTTTAATTTCTTTGATTGTATACAATTCACAAATTTAGCATACGGCATAAAATGACTATGGCTCCGTATTTCTTATAAATCAAAAACTTTGGAACACCCTGTACAATCTGCCTAGAAATTCCGCCCTATTATCTGTCAACTAAGCCGCAGCACGGTTAATATTAAAATTAAACTATTGGAAAGTTTAACGATAGCGCGCTGTGTCAAGTTAGCTGGGAAATAGAAAAGTGAGTTAGCTAGTAATGAATAAATTTTCCATTCGAACGACGCCTCCGCTTCCCATCTCTATCCGATATTCTAGTTTTCCCGTTTTCTCTGCTATGAAATTAATTAACTATAATAAACTATAAAGAAGTTCCTATTTGGTTTAATTAAAAGAACAAGTTAATTCTCGTTATATAATATTGCTTAAATATTGTCTCTAATACAAGCGAGTGAATACAATAAAACAATTTAAACCGTTTAAATATAACAGTTTAAAACGCGAAAAAATAAGTTAAACTCATTTACAAATTAATTTAACTACGACGCTTCATATATTCGTAAATTAGTTTAACTAAAACATTTCGTGTTTTAAACCGTTAAGGTGTTATATTTAAATGTGTACGCGTTAACTACAGGAAGAATTTGATTTGAATTTGACATGAGAGAAGGTTATTAGTTCGTTTGTAATTGAAGTATTTAACAGAGATACGACAAGTACAAGTTTAGTTAAAATATTTTCAACTTGATTGAGAAAGATAGACAGATTAATTTAACATTGTTTTTGTGTTTTATGTTTAGTAATTTTTTTAATAGATGCAGGATACCTTATTTATTTAATTATTTATCACCTCAGAATTTATAATTTTTTCTCTAACAGAAAAAAGGACAAAGCAATAATTGTAATAATTTACACAAATTGCACCAATCCAGATAAAGGAAATCTTCTAATTCTTTCACTTATCACTAAGTATCCAAAAACCTTTCTGTAAGTCCTATGTAATGTACCTTTACATACTTCTTACATCATTAAACAGTTCCTGTTATCTATATCTCAGATACTTGAGATATGATCCGGTTATATATCATAGTTCAACCGTTTATCTCTCAAAAACATACGTCGCTTTGGCAGTGCAATTTTCGTGTAAAATGAAGTATTTTATTTTTCTACTCTGCGTGTTATATACCGATGCGACACAGTACAATGACCGGCCAACTATAGGTGTTCTCTCGCAGGAGACTTATTCCACCCAGCATTTGTTTCCTGGCGAGAATTACACCAGTTTTATAGCTGCTTCGTACGTTAAAAACATCGAGGCATCTGGCGCTAGGGTCGTGCCAATCTTGTGAGTAGTTTTTCGCATATTTGAGTCTTTAGATACGAAAATCTTATTGCTATCGTATATTGGGTTGTTCTTATTTAAATAAAATACTTTAACGGCTTAAAACGGTTAAACTTTAAACATTATTAACTCTGGCCCGGCGTTTCGGATACTTTGCAGCGGCCGTGGTCACGGGGGGAGATTTTTTTAAATAGTAAATATATTTCACGTTGCAAACCGTTAAAGTGTTTTATTTAAACGTCTACTACTTGCGTAAACCGCGGACTGTTCTTGCCATTCTTTATGCTGTCCCAAGAACTGTCGCAAAATAAATAATGTTTTGACGGGCGCGTTAGTGGTATAGCAATGAACTAATCGTAGGTTCGACGGGTCTACCCTAACGGGTCCAATATGTTTTTAATCAATCTATAATTTTTCTGTAATATGTTGGACTTCGTCTGGAAACCTAGATATTAAACTGGTGGTAGAAATATCAAAATTCTGTCCGGGTCACGCACCACCATCCACAGATGAAAGCGCTGTCAAATTTAATCGTGTTACGGTTTCTACTAATTAGACTTTATACAGCTTGATTTTTACCTTTCATTATGAAAAAATTACCTTTTCTATCAAATAGCGCAATTTCAAATTAGGAATACACAAATTTGTACATTTTTTCTGTACAAATTTGTGTTTACGTAACATTAACAGGATCTAGTTTAGTTCATATTATACTCTGTCTTCTATCTGTACCCCCATAAGTGCTAACACTCGTAACAGTACAAACTTAGAATATTCTTTTTTTATTATTCTCCCTCCATCACTGTACTGCATGAGGGAGCAGAGCGTTTTATGACGACCACAAAAAGTCCCTAGATGGACAACTCATGTTTTTGCATTTTATGGTTAATTTCGTATCATACTTATATGCTAAGTATTAAATAAATTTTAGGTTACTTCTATATACTTTGTATTGTACTTTAGATCCACTCATTTTTATGTTAATTTAGAGTTTTTTTTTTATATAGAGTAGACAGACTAGCAAGCAGTTTACTTGATGGGAGGTCAAATACCCCGGCCATATAACATCTAAACAAGATGCGCTATCGACCTATTTTGGCTGTTTTTGGCCTATAAAACTCCTCGGCTATTTCATCCGTTGACAGTTCGTGGACGACGTTTTGAATTGAACACTTTTTACTGTCTAAAATATGCAATGTACAATTAAAATAATTGTTAATATAACCCGACATTTTGGATACATCTCTTCAAACAGTTAAGCATTTATTTAATCAGTCTTTAACTACAGACAGTCTGGCAAGTAGATTCAAACCATAAATAATAGGTTCCAATATACTAATCTTAAACCTTAACTATCCTTCATATACGAAGGACATTTTGTAGTCGATAGCGTAGTGCTTGTGTTGATTCTTTCATGTTATGTATGTTTGCTCATTACACAAAACTACCGCACCGTTAGCAAAGGGATGTTAAAAATAACTTGAATTCCCCGTTGAAATTTACATAAATATAACTCTTTATGATTCTCATCTCTAATAAAAATATATTAAAGTTATATTGTACCATCATTGTCTTGACTTTATGACTTCTGCGTCGCTTTTACGCACTTTCCCTCGTAAAACCCGTGTTCAATATTTACTAGTTTGTTTTTGAACTGTCTAAATTAACTTACGCTGGGTTTGTAGCGAAACAATGGAACTAATAAACCCGGGCGAACAGATAGCAAAAAGGTAACATTCAATTGAAATGTTTCTATTTCAGAATTGGCAGGAATCGTAGCTACTATCGAGAGCTCTTGGGCAAAATAAATGGGTGAGTGGATAGTGCAACAGTGTGAGAGTTAGTGAAAACATTGAAGTGGTTTTAATTGTAATTTGTGTTATAGTTTTAAGGAAAGATACAAGAAAAGTGATTGAAAATTTGAGTAACGAATTGTTTATAGTTTACGCGAGTTTTACTTGTTTAATAAAACTTTCAACGGTTTGAAATTCGCAATGTATTATTGAACTAATAAAACAAAAACTTCGCTCTTTTATATATAATTTGTTGTTTTATGTAAATTATAAAGTACTTCTAAATACTCTTCTATTCCATACTTCTATCGCATTAGGTTTATCCTGCAAGGCTAGAAAAAAATTATATAAATTAATAAATAAAAAAAACTTATTTTTAACCGACTTTTCGGATGTAACTGTAATTAAGAATTGATTTACGATAGAAAAAATATGACACGGGCAGGATACTTTGGCGAAGTCGTATCCCCCTGTGACCACTGTTAACTATTATATTTCGTGTTATAAACCGTTAAAAATATTTTATAAAAAAATAATTTGTAAATTTACATCGTAGGTTAATGTCTTTCTTATATATTTGAATAAGACTTTTTTATATGGAAGTTAAGTCGCATCACTAGAAACTGTGCTCTTGTAAATTAACATGAAGCTGAAAAAACGGTGTTAGATACCGTTTAAACTACTGTTTAAAATTAATAGTAGTGATCCACAGCTGCGCACAGGTCATCTTATAAGAGAAGAGATAATAACACCTACTTCGACTTCAAAGCGCATTTTAAGATCCGTTATGGATCCGTTGGTTGGATGAATTCGTTATGGACCTAAAAACAAGGACTAGTCGTGGACATGGTAGTTAATAATTATTAACATTTCAGAGTGGTATTCCCTGGTGGTGCCACATACTTCAACCAGAGCAACGGTTACGCAGATGCCGGTCAATACATTTATGAAATCGCCCAAGAGTTGAATGACGCTGGTCACCACTTCCCGATATTTGGAACTTGTTTGGGATTCGAGCTCCTCATTATCCTCGCTTCGGGGCGTGGGAGGATAGAGAACAGGGGTCTTTGCTATAGCTACCGTAGCCGACCTTTGAGCTTCACGACAGGTTTGTATATTCGTATGAATTAAATTAAGTAACAAATCTGACGGGCGCGTTGGTATAATGGTAGCGATTCAATAATCGACGGGTCGCGGGTCGATTCACGGAGATGAAGTTATACACGTTTCAGTTACAGTCTGTGGATTTCACCTACATCAACTGTTTCTGCTTGTCTGTCCTCGTCTATGATAAACTAAAATGTACAACCGAAAAGATTTATACTGTAAACAGCCATTCAATTATTTTTAATCATTTTTCTTGTTCTTTTATTATGAAATAGAATTTGTAATTGACATCATAATGTTATATGGGTTGTTAGAAATGCAAAAATTGTTTTTGACTCCATTTCACTTTGAAAAAATAATCTCTAAAGTTAACTAGCCGTTAAAGATACTTTTTCACATCGAATTTAATATACGTTATAAAATTAAGCAAAATCTCCTAACTTGGTTATATTGATATTGGATACTGTTTTACATAATTTAGTTGTAAAATACGTCACCTATTATAATGTGTTTTATCTCATCTATTTAAAACAACTCGAAAAAGTTCTTTCTAGTTTCCCTTTACTTTACTAAAATTGCGAATAAAGTTTTATAATGACCTCATGGCATAAGGGCGAACAAACAAAAGTTTTCACACCTATATAATTCTTGAAATATAATTAAAATTTTAATACAACATTATTTCAGACTTCCGGTGCAGCAAAATGTATGCAGAAATGCCGGACGACGTCGTTAATATTCTACGGACTCAGTCAGTTACCGTAAATGCACACCAATTTTGCATTTTTGATGAGGTAACTTCGATATTTTAATTTTTATTGTCCAAATACTGTACATGGAGCCCGGCATCAAAGAATTTTGATTATTCTTTTGGATCAACAACACCAAACATTTAAATAAAACACTTTAACGGTTTTAAACGCGATATATAAACTTGTTTAAAAAATATTTTAACTACGTCCCGATGTTGCATGGATATATATCGCGTTTCAAACCGTTAAAGTGTTTTATTTAAATGTGTACTACTCGCGTAAACTACAGACAGTATTTAACAGCTTTAATAACCTATGTTACAGAACTTAAGATCGCATAATTTAACAAATGACTGGCGTGTGACCTCATACAGCACAGATAACTACGGAGTTCCATTCATCTCCAGTATAGAACATAGAAGGTATTGACACTGTGTAATTTTTTATCTGTCTCTTGCGTGCGTTTTTACTGAAACTTTGTAAAAGTAAACTACTGTAAATTTGAAATTATATTAAGTATTTCAACTAGATTCGTTCTTTAAGAGCGTAAAGGTCTTTTAAAATTGTCTGCCCTTAATAAATATAAAAGTGAAAGCCTGTTTCCCTCCCGTGGGGCATGGAGCGAACACATATCTGTGTCCGTTTCACTGATCCGTTCTTTTGACGGACAAATAGTTGATCAGACTTCTGTGCCCTGCCCGACCGAAACAATTTTATGTTTCCCTGGGATTCGAACCCAGGACGTCTCGCGCTTAACGCAATACGTTTAACCATTTGGCTACAGAGGCAGCCTCAATAAATTTACTGCAAGATTAAGTATATAAAAAAAATTACCAGATCAAAAAAAAATAGGCGTATCGAATTAATCTTTCTAACTTTTGAAACAATTGATTTGCCTTCATAATTGATGGCCTCTTAAGGAAAAGGACCATCATTTGCGTACCATATTTTAATTGCACGAGTTGTGTCTTATTCCCCCATTGTCATTTTTCAAAAATAATTCCTAAAGCCGGTGAACTCCCGTATACATTTAATTTATAGACTTTTTAATTGCATGTTTAAAAACCATAATATGACATTTAGGTAAACTTCTTATAGTTTAAAAATACATGTATTTTAGTATCTTAATAAGTAAACTTGTCGTCTAGATTATGTAATGTAGAATTATTTTTATTGAGAATAATTTTGTTTGCGTGTTTTGCTCTTAGTGTGTATTATGTTGATATCTCTCTCTGAAGACATATCTATAGTCAACGCATTACATACTTAAGTTAGATACATTAGAACTATCCTTACAATAATTAATTTAAGTAGTTTAAAACCTAGTTAGTAAGCCTTTTTAAATAAATAAAGCTAGTAAAGTGAATGGACTTGATATTATATATTGTTCCAGGTATCCATTCTTCGGAACTCAATTCCACCCAGAAACAGTATCGTACGAATGGCGTAAAACATCAGACATACCTCACACGCCAGATGCCTTGACAGCGAATCGTTATTTCATGGATTTCTTCGTTAAGGAAAGTCGGAAGAACGAGAATTTGTTCCCAGATAAAACAGAAGAGGACCAACATTTGATTTATAACTATGCAGCGAGGTTCACTGGCGCACTGGGAGGATATTATGAACAAATTTATGTGTTTGAACCGAGAGAGTTCGTTTTGAATTACAAATGATGCTACTTTTATGTAGTAGTTAAATAAATGTCTTTTACAAGAGAGTGTTCTTAATATTTTCCATTGCATCCCATTTCTCTAATGACAAAGATAACAAAAAACAAATAAAAAAAAACACATCTTATGATAGTCTGTAGTTTATGCAAGTAATACACATTTAAATAAAACACGTTAACGGTTAAAAACACGGACTTACTGAATTTTTTTTTAACTACTGCTTGTCGTTTCGAATGCCTTGCAGCAGCCGTGGTCACGGGGAGACTTGACTAATCTTATATAATTTAAAAATAGAAAATAAATTGAAAGAATTTTTGACTCGGGCTGGCTCTACCAATTGAGATATCGAGTCAATTGGTAGAGCAAAAGCACGGAACGCTGACGATACCGGCTCAAGTCCTGCCCGAGTCGAAATTTTTTTTCAATTTATATTCGATTTTTAAATTATATAGTGCCTTCATGTGCAATAACATTTAAAAATAATAAAGTTTTCAAAATATATTTTCATAGATAGTAAGAACAAAGTTTACCTAAGTTTAAAAGCCATTGTTGTTGAAACTAAATAAATGTTTTTTGCTATTGGCAGAGTAACAGCAAACTTTTTCCGTCGGCGTTGAAAATATTTCAAAGCGTCTCGTTTCAAAAAAAAATGACGTTTTAAAAGCATCTTGAAATGGGATAGGAGCTATTGGATTTCAAGGAATTGAGTTTCCATTGTTTGATTTGAAAATATTTCGTATTCGGCTTTATATATTATTTCGGTATTATAATTATCAAACAGGTAAAATTACCAACGATCTGAAGGTAAACAAACCTAAGGTGGTAAATAAACAGCGGGTTAAATCATCATATAATTTAATAATTAAGCCTTATATATTTAATTTAATTTATATAAGTATAATTATTAAGTTAATTGAGTTTATAGTTTGTATGTTTTGTACGCAACTTCTAAATAAATGATTTCTTATTATTATTACACATAGTATACCTCTGCATACCGACGTTTCGGATGCTTTAGAGCAGCCGTGGTTACGGGGAGGGACGCGTTTTAAACCGTTAAACGCTCGCGTTAACTTCATACTATCTGATCTAACTTGTTCAAAAAAATATAATTATCCTAAACATGTTATAACCTTGTGTTGATAATCTAAACATTAAGATATTCTGGAATTCTCGTGAAGCGTACATACACGTCGTAAATCTTTAAACCTAAGTTAGGCCGATAGAACATATTAACTGCCACCAAGTTCTTCTCTGTTTAAAAAATATATAATTTAGAAATAAAATTTGAAAGATTTTTTCTTAAGATTCGTTGTTCAATTTGGGGAAAATAAAAGAAATTTAAATCTTATTCATCCATTGATATAAAGCTTTAGAGCATGTTTCTTATAATGATCATTAGTGTTGAGAAGTCATTCATTCGTCTGTTCAACACTACGTCTTTATTAACAAACGATTGTCATTAACTATTCTATTTGTGAAAGTTTTATTTTTCGGTCTAGACGAATTCGTACTATGTCTGCCTTCAATTCTATTATTTGTTACCCAAGAACCTAGAATTTTATTAATCGAGGCATACTTCGGAATAAAGGAAAAACAAATAACGTTATTGCACGCATTTAAAGTAACTTTTTACAAGTTAAAAAACGATTACAGATTGATAAAGTTACTTGAATTTACGACAGGGGCGTGATTTGAACTGCCAACCACAGCCTTCCGCGCTGTTGATCTAACCAAGTGAGTTTTCTTTCAACCTGTTGATACATGCACCTCCCGGGCAATGTAATTCAAAATTCGACGATGACGTGTAGGACACGGTAGTTCCACAGATTAGAGCAACAGCACGAAAGCGGTGCATGCCGGTTCAAGTCCTGCCCGGCACAATACGTCAAATACCGACACAATACGTCGTCCGAGCTGGAGTACCGGGATCTTAATCTTCCGTCGATGGTGCCACTAACGTAATGAGTTACGAAAATACAGATGTAATATACTTTTAAATAAAACACTTTAACGGTTTAAAACGCGATACATTCAAAACGTGACTCCCCGTGACCACGGCTGCTGCAAAGCATCCGAAACGTCGGCCGAAGTTAAAAATCATTTTCAAATAAGTTTAACTAATATATCGCGTTTTGAACCGTTAAAGTGTTTTATTTAAATGTGTACTACTCGCGTAAACTATAGACAGTATGTAGTATACTGTCAGCTTAATTTTTCATATTACGTAGTGTAGACTGCGTTTTTGCTGCTCGAATAGATCTGTGTTATAATTGCTACAATTAATTATAATATTCATGAGACGAAATGGTCTCGCAAATGTAGCTTCCACAAACTGGCAAGGTATGCTCATTGTAATAGCAAAATTGCTTATAACAATAACAGGTATGACGGTAATAATTATGTTATATCTATACTAATATATAAAGCTGAAGAGTTTGTTTGTTTGAACGCGCTAACCTCAGGAACTACGGTTTCGAATTAAAAAGTTATTTTTGTGTTAGTTACCATTTATCGAAAGGCTAAAAAATATCAAGATGTGATTGGTAGAAGTTAAACAGCGGGAAGTGTGAACAAAACGGGGGAAATTTCTCATCTCTGTGGGTTTCTGATGTGTACGCTGCGAAAACGGTTTGAGACACCCAAAACCTATGTATAGAGGAATGATTCCTCTTTAAAAAATCTGTAAAACTGTCTGCGACGCTAAACGTCTATCTTTTAAGATTAACTAGCGAGAACGGCGGGACGCGACCGATGTCATTTTGACCGATTGGAAATTGGTTTACTATATATAATGGAACATCCATGATAAAAGACAACGAATTTTTGCTTTAGAATGTTGTTTTTTTTTCAGTTAATTATTACCATTTTACATAGTTATCCAAAACTTCTCTATGTTTAAACAGTTCTGACCGTCTCCATAAATCTATTTATCAACATGCAATAGAGCCAAAGAGATGCAAAAACGAGACTAAACACTTTTTCTGTTAAAAAAATAGTAAGGCAAATGTAATACCTGATATTATTGTGCCATGTCCAAACTAGAGATGCTATGCAAATGTTCAGTCGTAAGGTGTGCTCACGATGCGCTAACAACTTTTCCCGTGCGAGTTTTAAAAGTGTGCACGGATTGAATTTTTAAAGTACTGAGTTGGGTTTAGTTGTATGCAGCTAAAGGATAATAAAACTTGGCAGGCTTGTTGATGATGCCTCAAAATCAACGGATCGTGGGTTCAAACACCACCAGGTCCATTATTTTTTATCAACTTATAATTTTTCTGAAACATGGATCGACTTCGTCTGGGGCAAACACAAAGAAGCTCATTTAAATTAAACACTTTTAACAGTTTGAGACGCGATATGTATACTTATTAGTTCAACTTATTTGGAAATTATTTTACGGCCCGACGTTTCGGATACTTGGATGCAGCCGTGGCCACGGGGAGTCTGATATAAACTACTATATATCGCGTTATATACCATTAAAAGTTTTTTATTTAAATATATTTGTAAATAATTCACTATTTGTACTAACTTGGTTTTTTTTTAACTCACATCAAACTCAGCATGTGCTCAGACAGCATGGCTCATTGAGCGCTGAATTTCATTCTGAAATACACTACAGAGTTTCAAATTATTTTGCAATTACCGAATTCACGAGAAGCGCGATACCATTCCGATCTTAATACTCAACGGCATTTGATATGTTGAGTTGTTGATTAAGACGCGAATATCCCGGGAACGATCATTAAGCAATTACAATTGATATATTGCTGGTAATCTCCTTGGTGATTGATATGTGGCATCTTGCTTAAGCTAGATAAGTTATCTTTGTAGTGTGATAATGGTTCGCTTAGCCAACCACTTGCAAAGAACAAAGTCCATGAAATAAAACACTTCAACGGTTTTAGACGCGATATCTATTAGTTAAATTTATTTATAAATTATTTTAAATACGGCCCGACGTTTCGGATGCTTTAAAGAAGGGTCTCTGACGTCAAAGGAAAAAACTGCTACGCTAACGCCATCTGTTACTTAAAGCCAAACATCCGAAACGCCAGGCCGTAGTTAAAATAATTGTGAAATAAATTTAATTAAAATATATCGTGTTTTATTTAATAGTTAAGTTATTTATACTATGACTAGATGAATATGATCTCTGCTTTAAACTGTTCTATTTTAATTTCAATATTTGTGTAAACTAGACATACTCGTTTTTTGGTTATAAAACAAAGGCATGTCTTCACGGCACACCTAATCCTACTAAAATATTTCAGCGTGAAAGTTTGTATGTGTGGATGGACCTTTGTTACTCTTTTACGCAAAAACTACTGAATGGATTTCAATTAAACTTTCCAATATAATTTCCAGCTTATACATCAGACTAACACATAGGCTACAATTTATAAAGATATTGTGTGAGCTGTCCAAAATATGACATTAAGTGTCAAGGAACTAGAAAAAAGCCTACCTTTCTGCGTGCTATTCTAGCTTGCGCTACCATAAACGTTAGTTACACATAATTATGTAATGTATGATATGATAGACATCATTTAGTTTAAATGCGCGATACTACGTAATCCTAATCTAGTAAATTAGGTATTAAGATAAAATTAAAAATAGACGATAATTCAAAAAAGTCTTGCCAAATATATGCAAATTTTTCTCCAATATAATCCATAAATTAATGCTGACTCAGCGGACAATCCCCTAATCCAATTCATAATGAAAAATGGCCCCAAATTCCGAATTAGAAGGATCAGTTTTAAGTCCCTTGTTGTTATGGTGCTCTGAGCAAATAACATCCTAAACTCTTGTAAATAAAACACTTTAACGGTTTAAAACGCGATATATTAGTTAAACACCCGTGACCACGGCTGCTGCAAAGCATCCGAAACCTCGGGCCGAAGTAAAAATCATTTCCAAATAAGTTTAACTAATATATGGCGTTTAAAACCGTTAAAGTGTTTTATTTAAATGTGTACTACTCGCGTAAACTATAG